TATGCATTGTGCCTCTTCCAGACACCCAGAGTGAGGCTCCAAACCAGCTGCCTCTTCTCCTTAAGCCCCACCTTATATGAGGCTCTTCTGCAGATGTGAAATGTGACACTTGAGGAGTGTTAGTTTGCCTAGCACATTCTTCATTGATGGGTGCCACTTTTATCAAGGAAGGAATGCCATTTGCCAACCTCCCATTGGGTCAGACTAGGCTCATCAGCCTAGGAACTGGGGCAGCTCACTCTAAGGATGTCTCAGATGCATTGTCCTCTACCTGATCATTGACCCTGCACTGAGAGGCTCATTTTTCAACATCCTGTTAGCTTTTAAAGGTGCTGCTCACTGTCTCTCTGACCTTCCACTGACTTGTATTTGAAAATGCATGCCTATGGAAGAATTTGTTCTGTAGGCAAAACCAATAAAGTTAATATTGTGCTTTGCCCAGCTGAGCTGACCAAACTTTCAGGGCCTCTGACCAGGGCCACTGCATTGCACAAATGCAAGAGACACCGTTCACTTTACAGGATATGGAAATGGAACTTCGTACAGGAGTAGCCTCTGCCTTTGACCATGGGCTGCTTTTCTCCTTCCTACAGTGGACTCAAACATGTGCATGGCAGAGCTTGTATTTACCTGCATATTTTGTGAGTTTGATATGGGGTCTGCTGTAGAGGAGTTGGGGAGTCATACCCAAGTGAACATACATTGCTAGATGAGAAGTGATTAGGAAGAAAGACATCTATTCATCAAAGTTTAAAGGATTTCCAAAATAGGCCTCTGATGGATATTCAGGTGAACATGTGAGTGCCAGTGACATGGTTTCTGAGCATTGGAAGCTATAGATTGTTTGAAAGAGTATCTCCTTTGCGTCTCTGCATGTGTGCTCTATAAACCAGATCCTTGCATTTACACAGAACAAGAAATCAAAAGTCACTCCCTTGGAGGATTGAAGATTGGGAGTCTGTGGAGGAAAAGCAGGAATATGGAGAATGTGTGGATGTGCAGAGGACTGGGTGCCTCTCTCTGAAAATCTGCTGGTGGCTATGGGGCTTGAGATGCTTAGAGGTTGGAGTGAACTGAACCTGTTCGTTTTTCTTTCCCAGAAGAGACAGAAGGAGAAGACACCACATGTCGATGTGGGAGCCACGCAGCAGCCACCTGTATGTGTGTACCAGTTTGCGTGTTTGTGAGTGGTTATGTGTGGGTGCGGGGACCATGTGTCTTTGTCCTTCACATGGACAAAGTGGCACTGGATGTGCATATCAGTGTGTGCCTTGGTGTGTGTGTGTATGTCTGTGCATATGATTTGTGGATATGCCCCTCTGCACCTTTCCACGTGTGCTTACACTGGTGTGTGTCCTAAGTATGTGAACCTGTGTGCTGTTTGCTCTTCTGTTTGGCCTATGCGTGGGCACATGTTGGCATTGGTAATTAGTATCGGTGGGTGTACCTTTCATGTAGGCTGTTGTGAACAGCTATATGTGTGCCACAGAGAGGGTGCGTGTGGATACATGTGAGCATCCCCTCCATGGATTGTAGGTGTGCCCACTGGTATATGTAAGTGAAGGAGTAGTGCTTGCCACCTCCCATGTGAGCCAATACTTGTGTGCCCTTCTGTTCATGCCGCATTCATGTGTTCCTGCTGCCACTTGAATGCCCATCTAGGCCCCTGAGTCAAAAGGCTCACCTGTGGTTTTAGTATAAGCTGATGGTCTCTGCATTATAGCACTCTAGGTTTTGATTAGCTTTGGTGGAAGAGACCCACAGCACTCTATTGATGACAGGGTTGATGCCAAAACTTCTTGTGACATGGGTGTACTTGCCACTGTCCTCACTCTTTGATGATGTCTGGCCATCAAACTCTCAGCCCTTGCTCTCCCAGGCTGTAATCTGAAAGGGAAAGGAGAAGCAGAGGAGAGGAGGAGGGAAGGACACAGAACCTTGAATTAAGGGTCATTGATGGGCACAGAGTAGGCAAAGGTTGATCCCCTGAAAGCATAAGGGAGCAAGGGAATGAAGAGCTGGTAAGCCTTCATACTTCGTGCCCTAGCAGCAGGCTGAAAGTTATTCTGGCCCTTGGGAACTCAGTCCTGGGGCTCATGTACCTACTCCCCACCACCCATCCCCGGCCAGCCCCTCAACTACTACGGAGCAGGGATTAGAATGGGAAGCCCCAAAGCTGAGAGGCATTGGCCCAATGATTTACTCATCTGTGGCCCACTCTGCCCTTGCATCTCTCTGTGCTTCCTATCTGCAGGTCCTGGGCTCTCCCATTTGCCCTCCCCACCACATGTCCCTCCATTTCCCCATGACTGCTGAGGGCTGCCCTGGGCCCCTGTGCTGCCCTCCAGCTGTAGGGTTCTGACCCTGGCCCTCACCCTTTACCCTTTGCCAGGAGGGAGCGGAGGCGCCGACACCACATGTCGGTGTGGGAGCAGCGCACCAGCCAGCTGCGGAGGCACATGCAGATGTCCAGCCAGGAGGCCCTCAACAAAGAGGAAGCCCCACCAATGAACCCCCTTAACCCTCTCAACCCCCTCAGCCCCCTTAACCCTCTCAATGCCCACCCCAGCCTCTACCGGAGACCCAGGCCCATTGAGGGCCTGGGCCTAGGTCTGGAGAAGTGTGAGGAGGAGCGCATCAGCCGTGGGGGGTCCCTCAAGGGGGACGGAAGTGACCTATCCAGTGCCCTGGACAACCAGAGAAGCCCCTTGTCCCTGGGCAAACGGGAGCCACCATGGCTGGCCAGGCCCTGTCATGGGAACTGTGACCCCACCCAGCAGGAGGCAGGGGGAGGAGAGACTGTGGTGACCTTCGAGGACCGGGCCAGGCACAGGCAGAGTCAGCGGCGCAGCCGGCACCGCCGCGTCAGGACAGAAGGCAAGGAGCCCTCCTCGGCTTCCCGGAGCAGGTCTGCTAGCCAGGAGCGGGGTCTGGATGAAGGTGTGCCCACCGACGGGGAGAAGGACCGGGAGCCCAGGGGCAGCCATGGGGGCAAGGAACCAACAATCCAAGAAGAAGAAAGATCCCAGGATTTAAGGAGGTAATTTACTTACAGGAGTGCCGTAAAGTTGGAAGCACATAGCCCAGGATAGCATTCAGAATTATTTAATAAAAGCCTTTTTGAGCCTCCGTTTCCCTTTTTGTAAAGTGAAGATCATGCTAACATGCACTTTATAATACATGTGTAAATAGGAAGTGGGAACTGGGCCTTTGGGACCTAGGGTCTGTTCTTCTAGGACATCTTCTGTTGGAATTGAGTCATGGATGGATGGATGGATGCTGCCTGCAGTTCTTAGTGCCTCTCTGCCTGACTGGGTAGATGGTGAAGCAAGAGGCTGGTGGGAGCTGGTGGATGCTACACGTTATCTAGCAGGGTTCCTCAGTCTCCCCTCACCTTTCTCTCTTATGTTTGTTATTGGTTGCCAACTCATCAAGAGGGAAAGGTGAAGGGAGACTGAGGAGTTCCAAGTTATGGTGAGCCCATGTGTGCAGAATAGAACTGTTCCATAGGGTTTTCAAGGCTTTGATCTTTCAGAAGCAGGTTGCCAGGTCTGTCTGCTGAGGGGCCTCTGGGTGGGTTCAAGCCACTAACCTTGCAGCTAGTAATCAAGCACTTAACCATTTGCACCATCCAAGTACATCAGCCACTTTGGAATAGCTTCTTAAGGTCTGGGCACCAGCTGTCTCTCCTCTCTTCACAGAACCAACAGCCTAATGGTACCCAGAGGCTCTGGGCTAGCAGGAGTCATTGATGAGGCAGACACACCTTTGGTCCCACCCCATCCAGAGCTGGAAGTGGGGAAGGAGGAGACACTGACGGAACAGGAGCCAGAGGGCAGCAGTGAGCAAGCCCTCCTGGGGGACGTACAGCTGGACGTGGGCAGGGCCATCAGCCAGAGTGAGCCAGACCTCTCCTGCATCACACCCAACACAGAGAAGGCCACAGAGAGCACCAGCGTCACTGTGGCCATCCCTGACGTGGGCCCTCTGGTGGATTCTACTGTGGTGCACAGTAAGAGCACAGCCCCTGTCCCCCACACCCACACTGCCCATCTCACCTGGGGCTGGGGGCAAGGGCATTGCAGTCATTCTAGAAGTGCCACTTGGAAAGTCCTACCAGCAGGACTGAATCATTCATCAACAAATATCAAAGAGCAGCAGTTTTCTCCTATCTGTAGAAAAAAAATTAATTGGAATTTTCTCAATCTTAAATTTGTCCAGAAAATTCCCTTAAATATTTGGCTTCTGCTACCACATTAAAATCTTCAGAGAGATCACATCTGATTTTGTACTCATTCTATATTCAGCTGCTTCGATTCAATGTGTAGCAATTTGATGATGTTCTTCAGGACCCCTGAGAAGCTCTGGGCAGGTTAGGGAACCTCTATGCAGTGGCAAGAGCTTGAAGTCATGATAGCAGAGGGTTCTGGGCCTGCCTCTGCTTAGTGAGTGACCTCAAAAAACCTCTTAAGCCTCTTGAGTCCTCAGCTTGCCATCTATAAAGTGAGAGCATTTCACTAGATGATCTCTGAGGTTTTTCCCTGTACTAACATTTTAGGAGTCTATTGCTCTTATCAACTCTTTTTTTCTCTTAGGAGCTTTTAGTCACACATTTCCCTCAATCACAGCTCCCTCAGCAACAGATGTTAATCTAAGAGACCTTTAAGAGAAGCACCAAAGAATTTAATCTACCACCTCATCCTTGCACTAAGCTCACACTAACAGAGCACCTCATCCCAGCACTCGCTCCACATCCCATCCCTGTACTGGCCTTACACCCCATCCCTACTCTAACCCCACCTCCTGAGTTGGGTCCACAGGGCTCCACCTTGCCCTTTCTTCCTTCCAGAATTTTTACATGCACCTGACAGTCTGTCTTCCTCTCACTCATCATTTTTCTTTCTTCCACTGCTCCATCTCCATTCCTTCAACTTTTCCACACTCAAAATGTCAATCCTGTTTTAAAAAGTGAAATCTCCCCATTATCTCCTTGGGGTTGACCTGTGCATGTCTCAGGATTACAAACCCAGAACCTTGTTTGGTCTCTGCTTGCTTTTATATTCTAACTAATAAATAAGATACGTTTTTCAACACCCCCCTTTTTCTTTAGTTTTTATTGTGATTTGGGTGAAAGTTTACAGAGCAAATTCATTTTCTGTACAGCAGTTCACATACACTTTGTATCATGATATTGACTGCAATTTCCCACAATGCAATAGCTCCTTTCCCACTTCCTTCCCATGGCTACCTCTTCCCTGTGTCCTTCCCTCCCATGTGCTCATGCCCCACAAGCTGTCTCCCTGTGCATTCACAGCCCTTCTATTTTGCCATGATTGATCTCTCCATGGAGTGTATCTACCTGATGTTCAGCTCACACACCTGTCTTTTGTTTGGCTGGAAGCCACAAGAGTGGGTTCAAGTCCAGACCTGAAGGACAGCTAGGGGCCATAGTCTCAGGTGTTCCATCAGGCTCTATCAGACTAGAAAACCTGGTCCCTTTTTTTTTTTTTTTTATGGTTTTGAGTTTTGTTCCACATTGTTCTCCCACGCTATCCAGGATCTCCTAGATAGACCCCCCTCCAAGTGTCATCCCCCCCCCCTTTTTTTTTTAATGATGAACAACTTTAAGAGAGTTATTCTCATACTGGGACTAGTCCAAGGCCTTGGTCATAGGTAAGAGCATGTTATTGGAAGACCTCTGGATATTTCCTATGACTTACCTTTCAGGAGGACCCGGCCACAGGGGTTTACTTTTACTGGACAATGAAACCTGTGAGAATGGGAACTCACAGACCTGCCTTGTTTTTCTAGATCTAACAAGTTTTCCACCTTTGACAGAGTACAGATTTACCACTTTTCTCTTGCTCTCTGTTAGTGGAAAATATTTTAGTTTCCCTTCTCTGACATGTTTCTGCTTTACAGGTTCTAGATTTTACAGATTTTACTGTATGATGTTTCAGAGAGCAGTGGGAGAGGTTAACTTGGTTTCTGCCCCCTTTCTGATATAACTTGAGTAAGGAACAGAGTAGTGGCCCTAGATGTCCACAAGGCCTCTGACACCTTCATCCTCCCCATTCCTGGAATGCAGTACATGAACCCATAGTCACATGAATATTGCATTCTCATTTCTACATTAATTATGACTGGAAAAAGTACAGCCAGAAAGGAAGCTGCAAACAGAATAATGGTTTCTTGAAATTTTCCACTATGATGTAATTTCATTGACAGGATATAGGATTTCTAATCAGGAACTCATACTAGCTGTTTGCCTTTAGTTAAAGGTACTTAAATTCTCTGAACTTCAGTTTTCCCATCTTTATAATTGGAATAATAATACATGTCAGTAAGAGTTGGTGTAAAAATTCAATAAATGAATATAAACAAAGAATTGAATTTAAACTCTTAACTTTGTAAACTGTATGACAGAACCAGAAAAAGGGAAACATTTATATTATTTATGTATCATAAAAGACTATACACATCAAATTAAGGCAATGGTCAGGAAAAGAGGAGAGGAAAGGCTTAACTCTATGGGATCTAGTGAAAACTTATCCCAATGTTTGCAAGGTACCTTGTTAGGCTTATTCTTGCAGCTTTTTCCTATCCTCTCTACCCCATCCCTACTTGAAAAAAGGATACCATGTTTCTAAAGAATTCAACATGTTCCTCTTGCAGTTAGTAACAAGACTGATGGAGAAGCCAGTCCTTTGAAAGAGGCAGAGATCAAAGAGGAGGAAGAGGAGGAGGTGGAGAAGAAGAAGCAAAAGAAGGAGAAGCGTGAAACAGGCAAAGCCATGGTACCCCATAGCTCCATGTTCATCTTCAGCACCACCAACCCGTAAGACTCCTGCTTCCTCCCCCTTTGGTGTCAGGGAAAACAGCCAGGTACTGAGCCAGGGCAGGGTGGTGGGGACAAGGAGGGATGACAGCCTTCCCAGTTAAGTATGACTAGACACCCGAAGCATACAGTATGTCCACTAGGTGAGGTGGGCCATGGAACTAAGTAGGCTCTGAGTTCTGTGCCCACAGTCTAAAGAATAACTTAAAGCAGGAAAGCATGAAGAGTGACATGAGAAAAGGACTGTTCACCTATCCTTTGGTCAGTGGGTGGGGTGGGAGAGGAGGAAATCTGGAGAAAGTGTCACTGAGTATTCCAGAGGTGGACAAAGCCAAGAAGAATGTGCAGCCTCGAATGACCACATTACCCACTGATGTTTAAAAATATTGATGCCACTGCCCTACACATGGATTTGAAATGAGGATATTCCTCAGTACAGAGGTAGGGGTAGCAGAGAAGAGTCTGGAAGGTTAGAATCAGGAAAGATAGAATTGTGAAAGGAAAGCTGCCTCCTGCCCTAAAAGTGAGCAAGATATCTATGTAGACCATCTTCTGGGGCTGGAAGACAAGGCTTTTCAGTGGCCATGTGAACAAGTTTCAGGCAAGGATCTGAGAAGAAAGGCACCCAGTTGAAGGTATATCCAGCCATCAGGGGCTAGAATGTCATCTACAGAATATAGTTGCTTAAATTAGACTATGTGGGGCTCATGAAAACCTTTTATTCCTTTCATCAGGAATCTTAGAATTTAAGATCTGTGTTCACATGTTCTTTGTTTGATTCTTTATAATTTCCTTGATATGTTCTAGTTTCCTTACTGTGAGGGGAGATGGCAGACATTGAGATACGGTGGAGGGTCTCCACTTGTAGCCACCCCTCGGAGTTTGTCTAGTCTGATGTTGGCTACTCCTGTGGCTCAGACATACTTGCACATAATGCATCTTGGCTTGCATACTGCAGCCTCCAACCAATCTGATTACCTTTCCCCACTGGGGCTTTAAATCAAGGGTGGTGCCTGAGAAATTAAATTGCTTTCCCTGGTGGCTTCCTCTGGTGAGGGCCTGGCTATCTGAAAGAAGCTGCTGTGTATGTGTGTGTATGGGGGGTGGTTGGAAGGGAGTAAGAGGAATGGGGATGGGAGGGAAGCAGGCCGGTTCAGCAGGCTCCACCCTCCCACAGGATCCGGAGGGCCTGCCACTATATCGTGAACCTGCGCTACTTTGAGATGTGCATCCTCCTGGTGATTGCAGCCAGCAGCATTGCCCTGGCAGCTGAGGACCCTGTCCTGACCAACTCTGAACGCAACAAAGTGGGTGCACAGGGGCCATTTACCAACCTCTGTAGTGCCCTGGTACCCACCCTTTCCCAGCACTCCCCATCCCAGAATGGATAGGAAGAGAAGGTTGATTCTGGGGAATAAGAGAGGATTGAGGAATTGCCCATTCTTGTTCCTCAGGGTGAAGTATGAATCATTCTTAGATCAGCACCCTCTGCCCCCCCCCCCCAATTACATTGGATGCTTTTATGCTTCAGCAAGCACGCCTCACCCCCAGAGCCTGCTGTGGGCTTGAATTTGGGGTCTAACACAGGGAGTTGAAACATCTTCTGGATGTTCCAAGGGTGTATGTCATGAAACAAAAGGGAGGTGTGGAAGATAGGAACTCACCAGGATTCCCAGGTAGCGAGCTAGAACTGAGGGAGAGGTTTGTGAGGCAATTCAGACTTAGAAATTGAATTCTGAGCAAAGAGAGAGAAGGGCCAAGGACCAGCTGCTGAGTCAGATCCATGCCTCTTTCCTCCCTGCATCCATCCCTCTCCATCTAGGTTGTAACTCCAAGCTTTTGTCTTAGGGTAGAAATGAATGGGGCTTGGGAGGGGGGTGTAGGACTGCTTGTAGGACTGCAGGTGGGAGTGTGTGTAGGCTGGTGGGCACATATGATCTTCTTTTCCTCCACCATATGTATCTTACAGGTCCTGAGGTATTTTGACTATGTATTCACTGGCGTGTTCACCTTTGAGATGGTCATAAAGGTAAAAGCCTCTAGAGCAAATGAATGTTCCTGGGTTTGAATGGGTCAGTTGTATACTCCTCCTGTACAGGGACTTTCCCTAGTATTGCCACATATCAGCCAGTGACAGGACCTCAGTAGGTCCTCTGTTAACCCACTGCTCTGGCCTCAGAATCCTGACAAACTCTATCTTGGCAGCACATGACTGGGTAGATACGTGTAGCCTGGTGCATACCTGTGGATATTGCCTCAGCAGGATCCAGGCCTTCTCTTAGGAAGCAGTAGGAAGTGCAGACAGGCTTGAGGACTGCATTCTCCTCCTCAGCGTGCTTCCAGATTTGAGCTTGGGAGAGTACCAAGTCAAGGAGCTAGGTAGCAATGAGTCTTCCAGAATTCTATCTAGTCCTAACCATATTCATTTACCTCTAGTACATTCTCCACCACTGAAAGCCCCCACATTTCTCTCTCATTCCCAGTGCTCATCATGGGTGTGTCATGCCATCTGGGATTTGACCCATCCACACATGTGAGGGATGCTTAATGCTCTAAGCCACAAATGAAGAAGGGAATGTAGCAAGGTTCTGTGATAGCCAAGGAATCTAATTGAACCCTGGGCCTCAGTTACCTGAGGAAGCCTGTTTGATTTTCCTGCCCCTCTTTGGGCCCCACTGTAGGGTTGTGAAGACAATGGCAGTTGAGAGATTGGCATGATGAACCCAGATCACAGGACAAGCACTGTCTGTCCATGTTAGGCTCATCTGTGTCTGTTCACATCTTTCTCTTGCAGATGATAGACCAGGGCTTGATCCTTCAAGATGGGTCCTACTTCCGAGACCTGTGGAACATCCTGGACTTTGTGGTGGTAGTTGGAGCACTGGTGGCCTTTGCTTTGGCGTAAGTGACTCTTTTCCTGTTCTAGTCTCTTCCCTTCCCTTTTCCTGGAAACTCTGGCTGATTTGAGGCCTTAATTAGGGCCATCCTGAGAAAGGATGCACTCAGAGTAGTGCCAAAGAATGCTACCCTGGAGACCTGCTTTATGGTTATGCTCAGAAAAACTCCTCAGAGCCCTACAGCTTCAGCTAATATGCTCTTCATGATAGGACTGGGGAAGAAGGAACAGGGAGAGTCACTGAGAAGAAGTCAAAGGACAGTATTACCTTTCTTAGAGATGAGTGAGCATAGATGGACAATCATCGTGTGGGCAGGACCTCCATAGGCTCAGAGATGGTGTCAGGGACAGCTGGGGTACACTTTCATTTCTTGATTCTGTCAAACAAAGGAGCAACTTGGAAGAAAGAAGGGTATGGAGGATAGAGTAAAATTGGGGATCATAGAACCAGGGCATGGTGAGGTTCTCTACCCATAAGCAGAGATACCCCAGAGCCATTTCAGAAACATAAGAACCATAGTGTTACTTTTATCCCCCCCCAAAAAAAAACAACAACAAAAAAGGCTTTCCCAGCCTTCCCTGCTAACACACTTAGGAAAATAGTTGTAAACTATTCAAACCACTAAACCATGTGGGGAGCTGTTTTTTGTTGTTGTTGTTGTTGTTGTTTTAAACAAAACATGGATCTAGTTATTGCAGGTTTTCCACCATATTTTGAAATTTCCTATGGACTCCAACCCAAGAAGAGGGCTCTCCTAGCTCTCCATGCTGTAGCTCAAAACTAGGGATGCCAGAGCCGTTTTCCTTGCCAGGGATGTGGAGTGTTGCCCAGTAGGATGAATGGCAACCATTTAGGCTTGGTCTGTACCTTATTCCACTGCCAGAGAAGCTTCACCCTCTTCCCAGGTGGCACAGTTGAATTCCTAGAATGAACGATCCCACCAGTCTCTGTGAATACAAGCAGGAGCCATATCTTCTAGCAGGATTGTGTGTGATGCGGCAGAAGGAGAGCATTTGGGAGCTGCTGCTGCTGAGGGCAGCTGAAAAAGAAAGAAAGAAATACCTCCATAGGTTTGCCCTTCCCAGATCCAAGTGGTCAGAGAGAGATCATCCCACCCTACCTTCTCCCCAAGGATTGTCAGTGTTCATCCCTTGTTCAGTGTGGCAGAAAAAAAGGATATGGAATGAGAGTTAAGAAGGACTATGTCTCAAGTGGTCCACGTAAGAAGAGGTGAAACATCCCTAGCTTGGCTAAGAGTCTAAGATTCCCAGCACCTGGAGATGGACTGTGTCCCTGCTGCCTCAGTCACAGGGGCCTGTCCAAAGGAGAGCTGGACTGAGTGTATTTTGTAGTTCTGAGCTGAGTTGGTAAGTAGGATAACTTTAGTGTCTCTTATTTCCATGTGTACTTGTATCTCAGTCATCAAAGTCATGTGGAATCACCTGGGCCTTTCACAAAAAGAAAGCCTCATATTAGACATGGCTGAGATGTTGCCAAGGAAATTTCACAAAAGCATGGTATTTTTCCAAGACCTGGATTCTGTGTGGATTCTCACTACCAAGGGGACTACCAACTCCTCTTTTGTCTTCCTGGAAAGAAACATTTTTTTCTTAAGGAGCCCCACCTATTTTGTTAGATACAAGTATTGCCTGTAGACATGTAAAAAAGTCACGTTTCCTTCTCATTTTATCAATTCATTTGCATACATTATCTCACCATGTTATTCTTCTTTCTTATTTTGGTCTTAGTAAAATAATTTGTCTCTGAAGAAATAAAAGATAAGGAGAGAGATGCATACAGGAAAAAAAAAAAAAAAACATCTTTAGGAAAAACAGAGCTCATTGGGGTGAAGAGCAACAGCAAGAGCATGAGCTTTGGAGCCAGGCCAGCCCTAGTTTGAATCCCAGTCCCTCTACTTACTAGTTTTATATCCTTAAGCAAGTTACTAACTTTCTTAACCTCAGTTTCTTCATCTCTAAAATGGGAACAAATAGTGCTTAGCACAGAGCTTGACAGAGTGAGTGATCAAGTTCATTCCTTACCTTATTCTTCCATTCTCCCATCACATCCTGAAGTCTGAATGCAGGAGTAAAGTATGTGTCGGTGAACAGTGTATGCAAATGGTTGAAGGCAAACCCAGGATGATTTCCAAGATTCACTTGTTTTAAACATACACACATTCACTCACACCCTAGCACTCACCCCTACCTCCAGTATCAGTGTGCTGTTAGGCAGGTATGTATGTTGGTGCTGGTGTGGGGAGGAGGTGCATTTTAGAAGAGGTCTTTGCAAGCCTGACCCATGTTCACAGTCCAGCTGTTTCTCCTCAGGTCAATGTGCTATGGAGTTGTCATCTGTCTTGTTCTCTCTTTGTGCCCCTTGAAATGTGGCAGTGGTGGCTTTGGTGCTGGTGGCTTTACCTTGGAGCCGAAGCTTCTCTTTTGGTTCTCAGACCAGGTACAGTGCAGGGGAACCCTAGCCTGGGGTTTCTGCTTATGTGATGGACTGAGAGTTATGATCCATCACTTGCTTTTCATGATGCCACTTATTGAACTTTTCCTTCCTTCTCTCCAGAATGTAGATCATCCTTGCTCATCCTTCTCCACCCACTCTCTTTTTTGCTGTCATCCCTCCAAGCTTGCCATGCACATTTCATTTCCCCTTTCACCTGCTCATGGAACAGGCTCACACTGTCCCCTCCTCTGTTCTCCATCACATTTGCTGAGGTCCAGGTAATGCTTTCTCTTGCTCATATGCCTATGCTTCCTAATTCTACTCTCTGCGTTTCCTCATTAAGACACTAGAGGATTCAGCTCTCCCGTCACTTTGGCAGGGCTAGCAAGAGTCCCACCTGTCAGCAAAGTAAGAGCCTGGCCTGAGGCAGAGAATGAAATGAAGTTACCAAGCCTGTGTCACCTCAAGATTTATGGTCAACAGCTCATGCCAGGAGGAAGCCAAATCTGAGTTTGTCTGCAGGCTTTTCAAGTCTCTCCCTCCTCATTGTCATTGTTGTATCCAATATATTTGCCCCCATCAATAGCCACCATTCAAACAGCCTTACTCCTGTCCTAGTCTCTTTTTCTCCTCTTTGAAATTGAACTGTACCCTACTTTGGCTTCTGGGAAGGCTATTGATCAATCAAAATGAGCAATTGATGGTGGTTTCCATGGTAACATTTTTACATAGCTTACCAGAGGTAAGCTTGGCAGTGGTCACTTGGCATCTCTTCCATCACTGCCAGCCAAAGCCTTCTCAGAACCCAGCCCAACCCCTAAGAGCCAATGCTGCTAACCCAGGGGAGACAGTGGCCCCTAGGTGAATTCTCAAAGAGAGCTACTTTGTTCACTGAGTCCTTCCACTGCAGAGGCCTGCACAGAAGTGATGCACCTGCCATCATGTATGTTTTCTATAAGCATATATGTCATTTATGTAGTGGCTGAAGAGAAACCTCTGTTCTCTATAGCTGTGTACATCAAGTCATGGACTTCTTTATAATGTAAACCTGACAAATTTTGTTTGGGAACTTTATTGACTTTTGAAAGGAAAAAGGATTTACTTTGTAAGCGTGGATATACCAGGAGATAAGAAAATAAACGGAAAAATACCCATTCTTTAAATTCTCTCTTCTTCCCAGTCTACTTTTACATTATAAAGCATTTATCAGAATACTCAGGTCTCCCTTTGGCCAGACCCCTCAGTAGTGAAGGTGGGCAGAGTTTCGACAGAGGTCAGGTACTGCTATACTTCTTCCCATTGCCCTCATGACCCCCTGCTTTCTGGGCCATATGGAGATACAGAGTGTTCACCAACTATAAATATCCCAAGCTGTGCTTTCTTCTTTGAGGTTTCAAGAAAAGTCTGGTGAGTGACTGGGTCTATGAAACCTTTCTCTTTGATCATTTTTCCTTTCTGAAAAGAGGGGGGGATTCTTCTATTTGATCACTATTTTACACTGAAGGACCAGAAATTATATTCTCCAGATCCCTCACACCCTCTTGCCATTGCTCTTGCCACCTGGACTCCTCAGTGGGCAGGCATTGATGGCTACAGTCTTGGCATTTCTGGGTATCTGCACATAAGGCACGTTTTCTCTTTTCAGGGCATCCCCTGGGGTCAGCTATCTTGTAGGAAAGTCATGTGACCACTATGCCAGGTTGAATTCATGAGCCTATTGGAGCCTGCCCAGTAAAGATGATGCTGCCTGTGTCCTCATGTTTCATGTCTTCAATGTTTAGTGACAGGATTAGGCAGGCAGGTGGGCAAGAACAGGCTCTCAGAGAGGAAATGATGCAGGAGTGGGCTGGAACATGTATGTGTATGTGTGTATGATATTATACCTGCATCCTAACCTGGGACCCTCCCTCTCCATTTTCATTGCACTATGTTACTTAGCTAGCTGAAGTCAAATAGGCAGATAAGTATTCTGGTTTGGATCCTAAGTGGTAAACTTATAGCTTATAATTGCTAATCAGCTCAAACAGTTTAATAGAAAAATCACAATTCTCCTCCCATCTCCTCTTCACCTTGGGACTTACTATTGCCAGGGCCTCAGTCAGGGTCACGCAGGCTCTCTGGCAGCTGATGCCAAATCTTCCGTTGCTTTTTTGCCATCGTCGCGGGGCATGAGGTAAGGTCAGGACTTCCTGGCACTCAAGGGATCTGGATCACAGCCACACTTGGCCTTTCATTACTCAGTCCTTAGCCAGAAAGGAAAAACATGACTCAATCTGCCTCTTGATGCCAGAAGGAACCAGAGTTCCCACATTAGCTTTTATTACATTCTTTTCATTGAAGTATGTCACTTTACTGACACTTGACACCCTGCCCTAGTCTTTCAGATGGATAAGATCTATTGAATGCATTCAGTACCAGCCACAGCAGCAGAGCTGGTTCTAAACGCATCCAATGAAATACACAGGTGCAGACAATTTCAGATTGGGAAGGGCTCTCAGGAGCCACAGAATATGCTGTTCTGGTTCTGTTTTTGCATTTGGGGTTTTGTGT